CCTTGCCCTCCTCCGCCCCCCCCCCTTTTTTTTTTCTCTTTTCTTGTTGCAAAGATAACTTTCTGCTTTAACTTTTAATGTCTCTCTGCCCTTCCATACTTTTCGCTCCTTGCCTTTTTTGGGCCTCCTGCGAGTAATTAGGGATTTTTTTCCCATATGTGTTAGCGGAGTAACTGTTGTGTAGTGCCCACTTCCCGAGATCTGTGCTTCAATGATTCCATTTCAGTGGTTTCTGCTTTCTGAAGATGAGTTTCGTGTGGTGCACAAATATATATGTGTTCATGCATTTTTCTTTGCTATTTTGTCTTTCTGTCTGCATTTATTTGTTTTTCCCATCCTAGGTATTTTCTGTTTAATTTTCAGAAAGCATCCTTTTTATTTGTTTTAGATTCATAAGGAAGGAGAATTGTTTAGTTTTGGAATTTGTTGGGGGGAGTGGATGTTACACAACTCTGGTCTTAATTCATACTAGTATTGCCAAGATTTTTTTCTCTATGTTTACTTGTCTTTATATTGACCTCTCTAGCAAGATAAGTTATCGGTGATGAGTGACACATTTTTATACACTTCTGTAGTCTTGAATATTATATGGAAGCCTGTCAGAGGATTTGCAACTCAACATCGTGTTTAATAAATTCTGTCCGCTGATATCAGTGAGGATGGGCTGAAAAAAATACCTCACTTCTTTTTTTTTTTAAATCTGAAATTGCAGATTTCTCTTTCTTTGTGACCTGCCACAGCTGTCTTAACTATCACAGTGAAAGAGTGAGAATGAATCCATCATTAGAAACATGCTTTGGCTGAATACAATATCCCACACGGACACAAGAAGATTTTCTCCACAACTCTGGACAGTTATCTGGGCATGTTTCTGCTGGGCAAATCATATTGCGATTTGACATATCAAAGCTTCTCTTCATTTACTCAATTCACAGAACATTATCATCTGGTCATTATTTCCAGTGCTACTAGGTTACAAACCAGCATTTAATCAGGACCTAGGAATAGTGACTGCATTAATTCTGATCTTATGAATAACTCATGAAGCTCCATTTCTCAATATTTCCAAAGTGAATGTTAAAGCCAGAAGCATTTTTGCTAATAAATGTATTTTTTACATACTGAAGTTATTTATGACAACTGTGAGGAATTACTTGTAAAGAGGTGACTTTCATTGCTTCTTATTTGCTTTTACAAGTAGAGATCAAATTTAAAAAAATATGTTTTTAAGTAATAAAAATTGGATTTTATGGCTTTTATCGGCTCTCGTGAAGCTTATAGATCAGTGCTATTGTTAAAGACTAGGCACACGTTATTCACATTGGGCTACATTGTTCTTACTTAGAGTTCTTATCAAGGTATGCATTTATTTAAAACAGCAACTTTTTATGTTTACGTCTATCTTTTTTACTTCACTATGAAAGGGCAATATAAGTATGAATACTAGTTTTTTCTTTCTTTGAAAGTGAAGCAGCACACAACTTTTAAGACAACCTGTTAAAATTTTCATTTGGTTATGTGTACCTTGTGCAAGGTTACTTCTGTTTTTAATCCATCGCTGTACGATCATGTGCTGTTTTATACCATTTACATTCAGTGTTTAATATATTGAGAGTGAGTTATATTCACCCCTTCATTTCAGTATTATGATTATTATAGACTTGAAGTCAACCTAGCTGCATTTTGCTTATACGATCTAGTTGTCTAACCATCTCCACATAAATGCCTTAGTCTCTTTATGTCAGTGTCCCCAGTGGGCAAGCAAACAGATGCAGCACATCTGCAGATTTGAGTTGTTTCTGACTCTTCTCTTATCTGTTTTTCATATCTTTCCTATTCATTCAATTTCTGTTCTTCTTTCAAGCTGAGCATGATGTGTTCTTTTTCTTAGCCACATGGAGGGCTGATCTTAGCAATAGTATTATTACTGGATTTTTTTTTTTTTTTTTGCCTTTCATCCTTAATAGATTGCAGAATATGAGCAAAAGATGAGTGAACTTTGAAGAAAATAGTTGACTATCCAAGTTTCTCCCTTACACCTGTGTCTACAGTAGCGCTGGGTGTACATCTTTGGAGAGGCATGAGTGCTTCTCCCTCTCTTCCCCTTCCCATTTGTAATGAGAAGTTCCTTCAGGTATCTGAAGGACAGTATTTGACAAATACTAGTTTTTAAAAGGCATGCATTGAGCCTAGTCTAATGATAAGAACATAACTATATAATTTTAGTGGAAACCACTATATTTTGATCTCCCCTAGAACATCTAGGTAGGCCGTTCAGCTCTTTATGGATACAAAACTAGAGTTACAAGAACATCATGCAGGAGAATGAGCAGAATTATGTGTGAATGTAATTCTTCAGGCTCTCAGCAAAAAGCAGAAGACTCGGAACCTAGCATGAAAGCTTTCTGTATGGCAAGTGATTAACAAATTGGAGACCTTAAAATGGGAAGAAGCTGCTGCATAAAAAACAAGATGACCAGCCTTTGGGTACTTGAGCCTCCTAAATTTTCAAAAGTGCGTACAGATGACTGCTAGTCCAACATAAAGACTCGGAGAAAGTTAACCTATCCAAACAGCTTTTGAAGCAACAGAATGAAACATATACCATATCCCAGCTTTATGTCATGTGGCAAGGTTTATTTTGACCAAGAGAAACCTGTAAAATGAATTTACTGTTTCATTGAACCATAGCCTCAGTAAGGATGACAAAGCTGTGCTGCAGCTAGTCAAGCGCCTGAGGGATGGTGGCCATTCTGTTCCTTAGTGGACAGCCCTGGTGTAAGTTTTTGCTGATGCCTGGCTGAAAAGAAGACAGCCTGGGTACTACGTATTTTGATATATCCAGGTATTGGCAGTATATTACTCCCAAAACAGTGTTCATCAAAGAATAAGCTAGCAATACTGTGATATTCAAGTTATTATCAGAAGGACAAAGCCTGTGATTTCTCTTGTCTCTTCAGAAACAACTGCTGCTTGGAGAGACATAGAGAAGTAATTAATATGAATGTCTTAGCCTTATACCAAACTCTACTTGTGCACTGAATGTCACTGGCTCCAGAGCACTGGTCCAAAGGAAGCCAGACAGCTGGTGTCCTAAAATCAGTCTCCTTGCTCCTGACAGAAGAGGTGGGATAAACTGATGGCAGTGAGGCTTCCTCTTACTTTTTTGTGCTTGCTTTGTGCAAGTCCAAAGTAGTTTTGCAGTCTCGGGGGCAGAAAAAAGATCAGAAGTGATTTGCAGAATCATATTCTCTCCTGGCTTTCCTAAGCTTGGGAGAGAGGAACCTGGAACATCTGTTATCAGATATGCTGTATTGCTTTTGATGCTGTGATGTATCTATCCATACTAGTTAGTATGCTAGGAGAAAGAAAAAAATGTAATTTTACTCATACCTTCCAGCTTGATCTTCCCAGCACAGGAAAGGGTATGATCTAGTGTCCCCTGGAGCCTAATTTTATCTTCTACAAATATGGGGCAAAGCTTCCAATGCGTATGGGAGCAACATACACAAAGGGACGAAGAGTGGAAAAATAACTTATCTGTTCATTGCTGTGGCCAATTCATGGTAAGATGAGCAATTCAGATAGGACACTAGTTTGGGGATGGAGGGAGTCATAATCCTCAAAGGAAAGAAAGAGAAAAAGAGAAGAGAGGTTATCTGAGCACCATAGAATTTTAAAAGAACAATTTAGGATTATGACTGAATAGTAAAGAGAAAACTGTAGTAACAAAGAGAAATCCAAACCCAAACCAAATCTTGAAAGAGCCGAAAGCATGAAGGATGAAAAGACTACCCTCTGTTCAGTTAGAGAAAAGTCAGACTC